GTTTATCGCGATGTGCCCTTCCTTTTTGCAGTTGTAGCAGATTAGTGGCTTCCGTGATTTAAACGCCCGTGTGGTTTCAGTGAGTTGTTTAGGAACCTCACTCGATTTCTCCGCTTCCGTTTGCCCTTCCCCTACAGTGTCCTTCGTAAGAGACGGGTCCTTCTTGAAATTACGGTGCGGAGCGGGTGTCCGTTGATCAGGTTTCTTTGAAAAGCCCTCTTTCCTTTCATCCTTTTCAACGCGCACTGCCCTGCTATGCAACATTCGGCGAGTATTATACTCCTCAGCTAACTCTGCTGCCTTGTTTAGCTGTACTTCACCAATTTTGTCCTGCAGCCAAAGTTTGACATCCTCCTCGATGCAGCGGTAGAATTGCTCCAATGCAACGCATTCCACCACTTTATCGCGGTCGTCATAAACACCTTCGCCCTTGAGCCATTCAATTAAATCAGCTTTAAGACGAAACGCGAAGTCAACGTGTGACTCATTCCCCTTTTTAGCATACCGGAACCTTTGCCTGAAAGCCTCGGGTGACAACTTATAACGTCTCAAGAGCACTTCCTTAACCTCGTCATAGCTCTCAAGCGCTTCCCTCGACAAGCAAGTTATCGCGTCGGACACTTCGCCGGGAAGAAGAGCTAACAGGTTCTGCGCCCAAAGAGACCGCTCCAAAGCATTTCGCTCACAGACGTGTTCAAACTTGACGAGATACTTCGCCATGTCCTCGCCTACTACGAACGGTGGCAGTTGGTCGCGAATTCTCTGACCGCTGACCTGAACTGTCGCAGAAGCTACGCTAGGCGCCTGCGAACACTGTAGGATTGCCAATTCTATTCGTTTCAACTCGAGGCGCTCCTGTCTCTCGGCCTCCTCGCGGCGTTCTCGCCTTTCAGCTTCTTCACGTTCGCGAGCTTCTCGCCTTTCAGCTTCTTCACGAGCTTCTCGCCTTTCAGCTTCTTCACGAGCTTCTCGCCTTTCAGCTTCTTCACGAGCTTCTCGCCTTTCAGCCTCCTCGCGGCGTGCTTTGATATCCACCCAGGCCTCATCGACTTCCTCAGCCGAAACTCCTTCATCTCTCATGATCTCAAGGATCGCTTGCTTTCGTTTCGCACGGCCCAAAGTAATGCCGAGTTCCTCACAAATTTCGATGAGTTCCTTCACTTTAAGGTTCTCCATCGTTCACACTAGCCTCTTGCTGTTTGCCCCTGTTAACAATTTACTTGCCGTACCCACAATAAGTCTACTAGCAAGACGCGCAAGCAATTTTTCACACTCCTGTGTTTACCCCCTCCGCATTAACTTTGGTTTCAAAGCACTTCGACTTTGCTTGAAACGATCAAAGCTCACTTCAATGCTTCCCACAGCCCTTCTCTAAACTACTACAACCTGAGCTAGAGTAGTCTGGTGAACTGAGGGGAAAACATCAGGCACTCACCGCATCGATGTCGCTGACGCCGGCCGATCCCGCAGCTGCCAACCACTGTTGCGAAGCGCACCTCCGACGACGTTACGAAGGGCGCTACGAATCCCACCGCTGCCACCACTGTTGCGACATGCGCCTCCGACGACGTTACGAAGGGCGCCTCGAAATCCCAACGCTGCAACCACTGTTTCGAAAGACGGCGACGCCAACACGGTCCCGAAGGCGCCACTGCTTCGAACTCCGCCGGGAAGGTCACCAGCCGTTTGGTAGCGTAGGTATCTCAGCTCGCGACTGCTTCTGCGCAGAGCTGATAGACGAGCAGACAAGACGACGGTGAGTTAAACAAGGTTTATGTACAGCATATATACAGAGGCGTTACAAATTCGGCACTGGGGCCGACAGAGACTCGAAGAGCCGAGCTCTCCTCTCTAACACATAGGTCTGCTCTCAAATGGGTCTGCTGTCAAAGGGGTCTGCTGCGACACACATGTCGGCTCTCCAACAGGTCTCCTTTCACCTAGGACCGCCGATCGCGACGCGCCGCAGGGCTTCTTTTATATGCACCGGGTCCTACCCAAATGTCCAACCAGAAGCGCCGCTGGTCGTCAGGTCAGACTCCTCCAATGGGGGTCGCCGCTGGGCCGCGTCATTCTTTCTCATCGAATCTGGAGAGGCTGCGCTGCAGGTGGCTGCACCCAAGGACGAGTGACGTCGCCGCGCATTGCGTCAGACCCCCAGACAGGAAGACGCCGGTTGTTTACTCGACGGGCTCGCTTGCTGAAATGACTCACTGCACGTGCACGCCAGAAAGGCGCCGTCGCCTGTTGACGCCGTTGAGTTGTTCGCGTCAGGCGGACTGGCCTGGACACAGATTGCCTTTTCCAGAGGCACGGACATTTGCTGCGGACTCGCAGGCATAACAAAACGTACCAATCACCGACTCAGTCGGAATCTTCTTTTTGTCGATGATACGCGAGCACCGGAACGCTGATACGGCTCCTGCTATGGAAAACATTTCTAAAATTTCTGTGTGAGTTAGGCTCAAGTCCACCCCACGGTCTAAACCTTTCACACATGCCAAATGTGGAGGTATGAAACAGCTCACCGGTAGAGATGCAAAAGTTGTGCATTTGAGGAGATCTGCTACACAGGCCTGGTCCGGCGAACAGCAAAGAATACCTCCGTGACCGAACTGTCGCACCTCAGTGATCAACTGGTAGTGTTCATTCACCTTCAGGAGCTCTTCCTGAATGATTTTTGGATTTTTCATCCAAATGGAATTTCCGTTAGAGGGAACCAGGCACATTTGAACGCTGCTCACACCACTGCGTAATAAAAGATCGATTGGTAACTCATTGGGAGCTAGGAAGGCCGAACAGGCAGCATTTGCCTGGCAGGGAGAAGAGAGAGACATCACAGCGTGATGTCTAATTCAGCACCGCCCGATCAGACCACACCCCCCGGGAGTATGCACCAGGACACCGCAAACGAAGAGGTTGGCTGGTTACAGAACCCTACTTGTCTTGTCTTCAGCGAGTGTGTTGCGCGAGAGTTTTGCTACGCAAGCTTCTAACGCACGTACAGGCGTCTTCGTCGTCTTCGCAAAGTACCACGCTTGCTCCTGTCGATGATGCACCGTAACAACATCATTGAGGCCGATCTTGCCACTGGTCGATGGCTAGGATAATAATAATAATTGTTGGAAACCCCCAAACCATGATATATGATTATGAGAAAGGCCGTAGTGGGAATCTGTGGAGATAAGCACACAAATCTCGGAGGCCATTTAGGTGCATTGCCGTGTTACACTTTATTAGCGATATGCATGTCACTTTATTACCGAAATTTTATGCCGGGTTAGTTGGTAGTTGGACTGTGGTTTAGTCCGGAAGCCGGAGCCACCGTTTTCAGGGGAGCATGCAAGCTAGGTGTGATGTACTGGAACGGGGCAGTACGTCTGGCGCCGAAAGTGTGATTACAATGACGGCCTGCAGTGCCAGGGTAGGGTAGCCAGGGCACACCGGATTTATTTCGCCATATGTCGCTGTACCCTTAGGTAACACATAGAAAGCGGATATACAAAGTCTCCGAGATGAATATTTTGTAGTTACCTTACCACGCTGGTAGTGAGTTTACGCGGAAAACCGTCGATTGCTCCCTTCTGTTTTTTATGAGGCGCACGTTAGCGTATTTCTGAGTATGCATGACTGACTCGGTGTTTGCGGAAGCCTGCAACGTAGAACCGTAGTTCTTGCGCCCAACGACAAAGAATATCTTTAATAATTCATATTCTTTGACGCCCCTATGAGGAGTAAAATGTCTAAAGTAATGAAGTGGTATTCCATTGAGCGTTATTATTTTTATTTCGAAAATCCTGCTACCGCTCTGCATGCTGGCTGATATGCTGGTGAGAGGTCGTCGTGAAATTCAGCTGTTATAGTGTCCTGTAAGACCCTGACGTGGTCCGCGGAGCGGGGCATATTTCTAAACTTTCCTCTAAAATTTACAACTTTGCACACGCAACCACACAAAAATTTTGGCTACACTACTGCTTTAAGACCTCCTTCTCGCGTGTTTTCTCGCATAACTTTAAATCAGTATGACATATAGACAGGCGCACATATGCATGGAATAAACAGTGATGAACTTTTTTATGCTTTCTGCGGTCAAAACAGTAAACATGCAGGTGCAGCCGATCCAGGTTGGAGGCATTGATCCAGTACACTGCTCTGTGATGAGAAGCGATCGGAAGTGAACGTTGCATACGATGCAGAAGTGGCTTTATTTATTGCAATGCTGTTCCCAAATGTGTCGAAGTACTTAAATTTTGCGAATATTTTAGATTTCATTGTTTTATGTGACCATTTACTGAAGAACTGCAGAAAGCTTCGCACTGCCCATTCAAATTTAGCGCGCCAATTAGATTGGTTGGTGGCGTCTTATGGTGGCATCGATAGAGATCTATCGAACTTTTAAGAAGGAAATTGCCAAAGAAAGGATCTATGATAATACTCGCGGTAGTGACAGTTTGAGGCCAGGACGGGAGTACTGCGAACCAAGGCATATCGGGCCAAATACGAAGGGGTAGACACAGTATGCAGTGCGTGTGGAGAGGAAGAAGAAACTGTCGAACACTTGATAATGTTCTGTAAAGGGCTTCACCCTATAGTTCAGGATGATGGCTCAGAGTTTTTCAAATCACTGGGGTTTAGGGACAGGGAGGGCAAAATAGGCCTTAAGCGGGTAGACCTAACTAGAAGAAGATTATCTGATTGGTGGCTAAAGTCAAGGCACGAGTGAAAATCAAACCCTTCGCTGTAAAGTACAAATCCTCAACCTCACTATTTAAAAAAAAAAGATAAATCTAATGGTTAGTTCACTAAGTATCACGGCTAGGTAGCGCTGGCCGCCGCCCGATCTAAAGGGTACAGCCACAACCATTCACCCATCCATCGTCGCAAGTTCTTCTATTGCAAGGAGGTTTAAAAAAAACTTCTGGAGTGGAAGCGCCTGCCCTCTGGTGACGCCGACGGCCGCCATGTTGCTCCAGGCAAAAAACGTGCCATCGGTCGTTTGGGCCCCCGCCGTTCGCGCCACTGAACAACAGTTGTCGCGTTTGTCCCTCGTTCTTTTGTTCTGTGCGGATTTTGTGCAGTCCTAAAGGAAGTTGACACGATTCCGGACGTTATGGTGAGCTCGTGTGTCGCCTTCGGCTGCACTAATCATGCGAAGCAGAAGCCAGGAATCACTTTTCACGTGTAAGTACGCAGGAAAAAAGCGCTTTCAATCGCTTGTCTCCTTCGGCGCGCTACCTCATTCGAGAAGCGCGGTTTCAGCTGAAAGCTTACTTTCATTAGCATTTTTCAGCTGGCGAGTAGAAGTTGAATAACCTATTTTGTGCGTGTGGTACCGCAGGTTTCCGAAAGACAAGACGCTGCGTGACGCATGGCAGCGTGCTGTTCGGAGGGATGTCTGGGAGCCTAAGAATGCGGACGTTCTCTGCTCGGAGCACTTTGAAGCCAACTGCTTTGACAGGACGGGCCAAACGACTGCGACCAGGGAGCATTCCTACCATTTTTCCTGCGTTCCCTGCGCATCTCCAGAAACCAGTGAGTACCATCACGAATGTACATTTTCGTTACGGTAAATAGGCTATAGATTTCCGAATGTGTAGGCACAGTTTCTCGTTTCCTACGTGCTGTTCAAAATCACACCACTCTCTGACAAAGCGCACGTCACGTACACTTACTTGTCCAACTTTTTTTTTTCACTGTGCGTGCATAAATACGGGCACGCTAAACTTCCGCACCGAAACTATAAAAAGATTCCCGAGGTAGTAATCCCGTTTCTAGTCAGTCTAAGCAGTGGGTGGGACCATTATACCCGGCTTCTGAACTTTGGAGCATAACTGATTTTTTTTTCTTGCAGGCGAAAAGAAAGCGAGAGGCCCCTAAGTGTCGGACTGCGCTGTCACCTGTCGTCAGTGCTGAGGCAGCGGTTGAAATGCCATCTGAGCCTTCGTCGCCGACGAAGGATTGGTACCGTTCCAAGGCAGAGGAGTCTGCACAAGAGGTTCTCCAACTAAAGAAGAAAGTTAAGACACTGCAGCAATCCAAAAGAAACCTAAGCAAGCGGTGTGATGCGTCAGAAAATTTGATCAAGGAGCTAAAAGAGAGGAACCTTTTGTCAGAAAAAGGCCTTGAGGTCTTTGAAGCAACTTTCTCGCCTGAAATTCAACAGCTTCTTGTCCGAGCCCATGAAAAAACAAACAAGATGTACCCCCCAGAGCTACGTGCATTCGCACTCACTCTGCACTACTACTCTGCGGCAGCGTATGAGTATGTGCGGTCGAAATTTAACAACGCTTTGCCTTCGCAACGTACGTTGCGTTAGTGGTACAAATCTGTAAATTCTTGAACAAAGCGGAGCAGCTGGTATATTCTATATTTTTTGCAATTTTAGTGTGTTGTTATAGAGTTGCCTGATATAACCTGCGTTTTGGGAATCAGGCCGTTTTCGTGTGAATTGTTTGTTTTATTGTATGTGCTTTTGGAAATTGTATAAAGCCTTGAATGAATAAAAACTCATATACCCCTGTGTTGCTTCCACCGTGAGCCCCATTTCGAGAATTGCAAGCGAATCCGCACTTACAGCAGCTAACCGTTGTAATGCATATTCGCTAATACGTAATCGCGTACGGCTCCCGTGTAATATCGTAACTGACGGCTTTGTACAGATCTTGTTTATCTAACACGAAGAAAAAAATGCGAGTGAAATTAATTACACTAAGTGCCCCATTTCATTCGAAAAAGCCGCCACGGAAGCGCGCTGGATACGTTGTCTGCGCTCCCTCTTGCCTGGAGCAAGATGGCCGCTAACCGGTTTCCCCGGCTTCACCCGCTTGCGTAGGCGTGAATAGGGGACCTCCACTCCAGAAGTTTTTTTTAAACCTCCTTGTTCTATTGGTTATTGACTACATGTGGTGTTTTATAGTTAATAAATATGTGAAATAGTGTTTGTTACTTTCTTTAAGTAACTTTTATAGTAAATGAAATACATAGTTTGGCAATAAATTGACAATGTGACAAAAAATTTATAACTAACTATTATGACGCAATTCCTTTTCCTTTGCTCGTCTTCCCCACGCGGTTCTGCGCCATTCATCGCTCCGTGATGACTTTAGCGCAGTAAGATTAAACTTAGCGTACAAGCCCGTAATATCACTTTTTCTGAGCCACAGAAACTACTCCTATGGACCGCCAAAGCGCTGGTTATTTCGGGGCCGCGTATCCGGCGATTGATCCGAGCTTCCAAGTACCAGGTATGTGAAAGCGTTTCCTGTGCCTCGCGGGTTAGCGACCTTGCGCCCTTTTCGGCAGTGGATAAGTGCACTAAGTGCCGTTCTTGTCATGATGATTTGTTGCATCACTTCAATCTTCTTCCACGAGCTGTGAACTTGCTTTACTGCTTTGTGAACATGTCGGCCATGCTGATACATATCCACAATGTTCACTGAGCACCATTCATGACACAGTGCCCTTAGCCGCAAGAAGAGTTTCCTTCGCTATAGCATAGAAATTATAATTTTTCACTCAAAGGATTACAGTGAAATTGAGTAGGAGGAGTTTAGCTTATGCAACTTCTGCCGTCGTGCTGTTACGTAATGTAGATAAACTTGTGTGTGCTCACTGGTTTCTTCACCTTTTGCTACCCGTATGCATGTATACTAGTGGTTAAACATGCCTTACGCTGCAGCGCTAATGTCATGTATCGAATGATATTTGCTGTGTACTATAATAAGGTTTGCGCAGGCGTGGTATGGAGGTGTGAAACAAGCATACTTTTGCGTAGCTTCAAGTCATAAATACGTCCATGATTTGCGCTGCTACCGGTGCATAAAACTAGTCGCTTTTGTGCCGTGGGACCTGATTTAACAGCCTAGTGTGTAACACGCGTATTATACTAGTGTCACAGGACTCTCTTCAATCGCTACCAAGACCGATCCGTTTCGAATTACTCGACCGCGCTTGGCTCACTGTTTCGTCTTGTGCGAATATGCCAATCGTGATCATGAAACTCGATCCCGATAGGTCCCGTTCGCAATCGAATGTGCATCTTGTGACACCCGTATTGTATTCCTTCGATGAGCGTCGGTGTGGGACACTTAGTAGCACCTCATTCGTCGTCTTTTAAGAACTGACCATAGTATGGGGATTGAAGCTGATGACATTAATTAATGCTTATCTCGGGATAGGGTCAATTGGGAAAACCAGATGTACATTTTCGTGTTATAAAAATAATTCCAAGGTCTGCCTGCACAACCTGAACTAGTGTACGTACAAGGTGTGCACCCGGCTATTCGCTTTAGCTGTGCAGCATTGCCATCGTATGCCATTAATTCCAGAAGTGCAGGAGAGATGCAGCACTGGTTCACTAACTGTCCCAACTTATAGTGCCAGCTTGGGGAAAATGGGTGGGTGTCGAGCAGCAGTGGAGCAGACGACGTAAGCACGAGAGTGTAGGACCATTTAAAGACCACTTATGCGCATCTGTTGTGTCTATCAATGTAAGGTGTGTTTATGTCACATAAACTGACTGTAGATGCATAACTTCGAAATCTTAGCACCAAAAAATACGGAGACAAAAGGAAGAGACATAGACAACATGAGCGCAAGATGCAGATGTAGATGCAGCTTGCGGTCATTCAGACATCCGTGATCATGTAGACAAAACATGGGTATTGCACTTGCTTGTGCCAGTTTGTGAGCTCCTTGTGCTGTGCCATGAAATGGTTCAGAGTGGTGCATATTAATCGAACACACTTATATCAATCTACAGTGCCATTCACTGCTGTGCAGAGTACCCACTTCACTATGCAGTGTGATACATTGTAGTGATTGCAGAGTTCAAGATATTGCATATAAGTGCATGCCCAACCCAACAAATCTGCCAACGTGTTCTCACACCTTTAAACCAGCAGTGATGCTACGATAGTACCTGCGCTTGCTTTGTTGTATGGGTTCATTGCCCGAGAGTGCTTTATGGCTGTGCCAGTCACAGCTAAACGAAAACACGCATTGGTTAATAAAACATTTGATTTGTCATGTCATAATGTGTGAGAAAAGTGCATCAAATTTCAATGGATTCAGATGTCAACAGCCAATAAACTGTACTTAATGGTTATAGTAAGCAGAGTAACTGTATAAATGTCCTAGCACCTTCAAAAAATTCTTCACCCGAACCTTTCAAAATACAGCGGAAAAAGTATGTGAAGCATTCAGCAAAGGCATGGAGTTTGTCGTGAAATGATTACGTGTAGTATAAAACAATCGATTTGAAGCAATGAATCTGAGCATCTGGGGAAGAAAAACGAAATTGTAAAAACAATTTTATAAGCTAAATCTTCTTGAACCTTCAAGAAATTCTCGTAATGCATCAGTAATTTTCCCGTTACTGTGGCCAAGAGACAAAGCCCCGAAGGATAGTACATTTCATGCACTGATATCTAACCTAAGGAGATGGAAAATTGCATCTAAAGTAAGTTTGCGCAAGTTATGGTACCTTTTGCAGAACATGCGATGGTGCTGTGTTGTTTCATGTACTACACAAAGATAACAACGAGGGGAAGCTGCCACATCAGCTCTCTGTAGGCGTAGTCTTGTGATTGTGACTTCAGTTGCTTCTGACTGGCATATTTTAGTATTCCACTGATGATAGGTATGCTGGAAATCTAATATGGTCTTTAATGACTCTGCAGCAAATTCCTCTAGCATAATTTTTCTCCTAAATCTAGCACCTATAATGAAATTGGATGCCGGCAAATCCTGAATCACCGGACCATTCAAAGATAACTTAGCTGGAGCGTTTGCCATTTCATTCATAAATAAGCCTTTGTGTCCTGGAACCCAAACTAACTTGAGTAAGTTTATGTGCTGTTGAACTAATTGTTTAAAAGCATTCAAAAAGTATGAATTCTCATTTGCTGTGAGGGCCGAACATACCGATAGCGAATCCGTCAAAATTATTTCCGAGCTTATTAATTCTGGTATAGTTTACACAAAGCTAGAATGATTGCTAAAACTTATGCTATAAAGATGGGCACAAAATTTGGAAAGCGAAGACAAAACGACCAATGTGGAGTAAGAGAGAAAATTCCAATTCCACATTTTTCTTCACTTTGTGAAGTATCCATCGCTATGACTCTGTTTATTTACGTATGTTGCCGCTGATTGTTTATATAGTGTTTAATAAGCAGAGTGACAGTTTTGCATTGCTTGGCAAAATGTCGCTAAACTCCTTTAATATAGTTGTTGCTATTAATGATTATGGGTGGGTGAATAATGTGAAGATGTATTTTTTCAACACTGCTCTCTGTAATTAAAACTTGAGGCGTATGAATTCTCGGTCAATATGCTTTAAAAAAACAAGTCAGGATGTGGATGGCTAATGGGGGGATTCATATAGACTTAGAAACGGCTGTACTGCTAACAATTTAAACCGGGTCGCAAGTGATTGAAACCTAGCTTTCATATACAAGACCTTAGTTGCCACAAATTGCAGAATACCTAAGCATAATCTCAAATCTTGTCTTTGGAGGACTACAGGAGGATGAAGATTATATAAGCAGGAGCTCCAGAGTATAAGATGTGCCCGAATTCAAGCACTGTGTGAACATACGTGCAGTGCAAGCGTCCAATTTACTTCCTATTCGTCTCTGCTTTGCCTTTTGCAGGATTTACTAACCCTCGGCCTGCTGCTTGTTTCCTGTGCTTCTCTCCCTTTTTTTTTCTCTCTGTCCTTGTGTATCTGTGTGTGCAAGTTTAATAATAATAATAATAATAATAATAATAATAATAATAATAATAATAATAATAATAATAATTTCAACCAGTGAAGTCAGCGATAACACCTCCGATTTCAGTGCGCTTGAGTTGGCAGACTTCGAGGAAACACGACATGCTGCCCGATTGTTCATGGATAATGGCCACAGATTCTCCATTCTTTGACATAAAACATAGACGATGGTTAACCTGTGTCCACTGGGTGATAGTACAAATTTTCACGAAGGCGCAACTGTGCACATGTGAAGTCTAGCGCTTCTGATAGAAGTAAACATTTTTGTGGCTGTGACACTTGCTCTGTTTCTACAAAAATTGTGTGAATTAGCATGTTTTCTGATTACAGAACAATGATGATTGAAAGCTTGAAAACACAACGTGTCATTGTACCATGTTTCAAGGTTCTATATGCATAACTTATTCCCACCTAAATTTTCTTTTTCACTGGAGCATTGAAATGGGTGGTCATGCGACTGCACAATTTTTTCGAACAAAAATACTTCACTGCGACCACTCTCACAATTACCTTCCAGCTCAAATTTTTTCACTAGAATCACTGGTGTTTGAATTGTGGGCTGAGATGTGTCTTGTGAGATGACCTATTAGGCTGCACATGCCACAAGCATGTAACAAGCAGTTGCCACCACCAGGCGTTGCCCTGTAGAGCAGAGGGTTCGCGCTCACGTCTCAGGTGGCACCAGCGGAGTTTGCATAGGGGCAGCTGACCCCTAAAACACAAATTTCCACCTGCCCCCCCCCCCCACCCCCCA